CATTTTTGTGTCCCTGTTACATCTGACCTTTGTTATTTAACATAGAAATATTACCAGAATTTATTTCAAACTATTAGTTTTTGTTTGGCAGGTATTTTTCATTAATTCATCACTTCTGGACAGTCATATGTCAGATGTCACAGGGACACAAAAAAAAGGACCCCTAATTTCTGGAAATACCCATGTACATATCCTGTGATACTCGGACATGTACATTGAGATTGTGTGCACAGGCTACCTTGTGCAACCATTGTGGTGTACATGATACTGTCATGCCTGTACATGTACATCCAAGTTTGTTTGTAAGAATGGAAAAGACTGCATGTTCTTGTTGGTTAATATGTTAAATCAAGAAGAAATGTACATTTACTGGCAGGGCAACCTGGAGTTTTAGTATTAAGCAATAGTAGTAGTACATGTAATGTAGTTGGTTAAGGAGAATTGTTGCTTTTGATGCTGTTGAGTTGGATTTGTGATTTGGGTTGTCCACATTAATGTATTATTCAGCACAGATTTCTTGTGCCTACTTAAGAATTTGAAAAACTGCTTATTTAAGTACTGGTTTTATTCTTATTTCTCTTAATACAGTTTTTAGACACGAAATATCTGATTACCACAGCACAAAGTTTGGTTTGTATTAATTTCATCATCTGTGCATTTCACTGCATGCTTTATTGTACACGTTTCATTGTACGTGTACCAAGCATAATTGGTATGCTGTACGCATACCTACATGTATTATAGCTGTCAACATACCAACTATAGCTGTCAACTCAAGAAGGGGTATTGGTGCTACAAAAGTCGACCACATTATTTACGGAATTGTGAGAGAGGAGAGAGAATCCATGTATACATTGGTCTCAGTCAATCCTAACCAACACTTCACCACCAAGTTTAATTGATTTACTCTACCAAATGTCTTTATCATACCTTGTGCAAGATGTGTTCTGAAGGAGCTCTTCTGTGAATGTTCCAATAAAGTCACCTAACATCTGGACTGTCCTTTTACTCATCAGAACAAAATGTCCAATAAGGCCCAAAAAGGCGCTAGTTTCTGGGCAGCGTGCACATCGCTGTAGACCTGCGCATTTGCAAAATAAAAAGTTTTATTTAGTATAATACAAGTCCAAAAGCTGCCAAACTTGTTTGATTGACCGGAATGGTGCTACTGCATAATTTTAACATGTTTTAGATGGGTTAGGTTGAGTATTGTGTACGCTAAATGAGTCCCTCTAGGCCCCCATACATTACTTTTTTCCGCAAAGCTTGACATGGAGTCAGTCTTCCACCTTCTTCAGCTTCTACATGTATGTGTATAACCTTACCTGAGTTGACTCCACTCCATTACAGACTTGTTTGAAATCATTTTAACATTTCTTTACAATAAAAACTTTAATATTTCTCCAAACCTCGAACAAAACAGTCATGCCACTTTTTGGATGAAACTTCTTGCTTTCTGGCGCAAGTTATCGTCCAATACATTAAAGTATATTTTGGCCAAGCTCTTTGGCTGTTTCTGTATACTTTACGAATTTCACAGTATGTTTTCTGACACTTTTGTTATGAAAGTATTCTTCGCTTTCAAACATAATGTCTTCTGACTTTTGTGCTTCTGAATGATGGTCATAACACTCTTTAACATGTACGTGTATATATCAAGACTAATATGATTTAAAAAACTTGTACCAATAGTTAAACTGTTGTTGCGTAGGTAAGGTGGCAGTGGGTGATTACCTGGTGTGTTGGAAGAATTAAATCTGAAATATGATAAAAGGAAATGTCACATTGGATGCTTGGCTGATGACTTTCTTGTTCAAACCCTGTAGCTCCAAAGGGGTAAATATGCCATGCTCTCTTGGTCTGGAGCATGTTCATGCTGAAAATCAAATACACGTATGCCTTGGCTGATATCCTCCATGTGTGAATGTTCCATCCTCCGTGTGTGAATGTTCCATCCTCTCTGTGCTCTGTAGAACACCTGATATGCATGAATGACCAGTCTATTGCTGTTCACACCGGAGCTTGTGGGAGCAGGTTGAACTGGAGGGTGGCCAACCCTTGGGCTGCCCAGTTCTTGATTGTTTCATTTTTGCGTCCTTTGACATTTGCTTCCTTAAAAATCAAGCTACATCTAATCTTACTATTCCTGTTTGATTTTGTCTTTTACCTTATCTGTATTTCTACATTCCTTTTCTTTGTCTTTTTTCTTGCGGGGGGGATGTAAATGTAGTTTTTCCCTGCACTACGCATTGGTCCTACTTTAACCTACTTTTTCAAGCTCATTGGCCATTTTGGCAAAAACTTGCAAGTGCCCAGTAATCCAGTTGTTTCTGGATTTCATCATCCAGTAGACAGCCCCCTGTTTATTTTCTGTCATCTGCTTTACTGTTCGATCTGGTCTTTGTATCTAGAAAAGTACTTCCAGCCGCGTTACCATCAAAAAACTTGCTGTCACAACTAACACTTTTGGAATCAGCACTGCTAATGCAGTTGTATTGTGCTTGTGAAACGCCTCGGCACATAGCTGCTTTTGATATATTCAAGACCAAAAAGACTTTCAGCCAGAAGCAAGGAACTGTGTTTTTGGCTAGAGTTGCATACCCGGTCCTGAAGTGGCAGTCAGCATTACTGATGGTGTAAAACCTCCCTTGTCGGTGTGAATAGATCTGTAAAACATAACAAGCGTCTTTCTTTTGTGCGCTTGTTGCTGTGGGAGATTGGATTGTGTCCCATATGTGCCTAATTATCATAGGACAGTACTCATTTAAGAAAGCGTTATGTCATACATGTACATACATGTCTATAGAGGTGATGCGTCGTAGCCATCTTGGAGGGCAGTTCTTTTGTTCCATAGGAGAACCTCTTTTGTGCATACCCTTTGGAACAAAAGCAGTGGCCTGCAAGTTGGCAGCCATGCAAACCCTCTATTGAGCCAGTCCTGCTGCAGTTGGGCTTTTCACAACCAAAGTTTGACGTTCATGTACATGTAGTTGCAGGAGTTTATCACCGTTAGTTTTTGTCTTTTTAAAACTGTCCTTAATGTGCTGACAGTTCATGTTGGCCCAAGTGCTATCCTCACTTACATGTTGACTCCTGTTGTGTGATGTACATGTAACACGCCTCACTGTATTTTTTATCTTGCAGGCGTATATGCATAGCTGAAGCATTTCTTACTGCCGACATCTGCTTGAGTACACTGCAGAACGTCTCAGAAGGACTGGTTGTCTATCCAAAGGTGAGCTGATGGGAAAGTCTTTGATTTTGACAGGAGTCCCAATGAATTTGTAAAGAATGGGAGTTAGTGTGCATTTGAAGGTTTCCTGTGGAGAAATGCTTAACAGATACAGATAAATGTTTAGCAGGAACCAGGATAGAAATGGAAAATAGTTTATGAGGAAAGTGCTAGTTCAGTTGTTTTGGCGATGCACCTTTTATTTTCCTGACATTGTACAAACGAGAAGTATTATGTACAGTCTCCTGGAGTTTTAACAGTGCCATTTGGGTTTTTTCTAACTTCCCAATGCATGTTTAATTATTTCTCCTGGTGTTTTTTCGCGATGTTGCTTGATGTTAACCGGAGAAATGTGACACTGCCCATTCATCACTGGTGCTTGCTGGATATTACAGCTTGTCATATTTGTCATTGAACAAACATGCTGAAACCAGCTAAACACTTCAACAAGAAAAATTCCCTTCTGATAAGACCCAGAATGATGCCGCCAAATGCCATGGATATATCACATTGCATATACATGTATATATCTTTTGATGGATATTTGATGGATATCTGATGGAGTCAGCATCCCGCCGATGGAACCCTTCCATGAATGTACCGGTGAGGAGGAGTTGTTCCCATTGTCCTTTCCTTCTCTCTCTCTCTCTCTGCTCTGATGTAGGTGATTGAGAAACATGTGAAGCAGGAGCTACCATTCATGGCGTCAGAGAACATCATCATGGCTATGGTCAAGGCAGGAGGAAACAGACAGGTAAAGCAAGCACCCCCCCTCACCCCTGTAGGGCGCTGCATTCCAGAGATGTGTAAACATTTGCTTATCCACATTTTTAGATTCAATGAAAGCACTTTTTAAGAAAAAGCTCTAAGTGCAGCGCTTGGAAACACAATGCTATCCAGGATTTCCTACTGAATGATCAATTTTTCATCTTTATTCATCAGTATCCATGTTTGTAGTCACAATTTCTGAAAATATAAATAATTATAGAAAGTATATAAGGAAAAAACAAAGCCAGGCCATTACTTGTTTTGGCATTGCGCAACTTGTTACCTTTTTTTTGCAGAACGGGTCACGTTACTGACTTGAAGACTCGTGCATGCCCAAACAAATCACTATATCAAGTTCTTTTGTCTCAAAAAGACCACACTCATTTCTAGTTTTGCCACACCCGTCTCATTCATACACCAATGGATAAAATCTTTGGAGATCCTCGGATAAAACCAGTTGTGAACAGTCATGTGACTTCTCCCTCTTGTTGATTACCTGTGTTGTCCTTGTCTTTATCAGGAGTGCCATGAGCACATCCGCACCTTGGCTCAGGAGGCAGGAGCCGTCGTCAAGCAACAAGGAGGTGATAACGACCTGGTGGAGCGGATACGCCAAGTCGAGTACTTTGCACCCATCCATGGCCAGCTGGACGACCTCCTCAACCCTGCGACGTTCATTGGACGTGCTCCCGAGCAGGTAGTTATGTAGATTGGCTCCATCTGGATCTCAAGGATTTGTCCTTTTTAAATATTCAAGCCTGCATTGAGAAACAGGTTTTCAATAACCTGTGTGCAAAAAGATGGCTTGTGCACCGTGATCAGCCCCGGCACGGACATCTATTAACCACTTGCTGCCGGGTGCTTTTAAAAATGCATTGCACACATATGGGAGGTTTTCAAGATTTTCAGTTTTCAAAATTCTTCAAAAATTCATCATTTCATTTAATGGATGTTTACACCTACACGAATGACTGTTTGGTGGCTACTCTGAGCTGACAGGCAACCTTCATTGACTCCCGAGTATTTCAGCCAGGCCTGCCGCCCAGAGTTGTGAGGTGTTGCGTAATTACCTTTGTCCCTAGTGAATGCGAGTGGCATCTTTCGAACGCGGTTGGATTAGCATGCAGCGGTGCTGTGTCGCTCGTCTGTGGGGCCATGCTGCACTTGTGTCTGCGGTGTTAATCCGCGGGCGTGCTATGCCCAAAATAGTGGTATATTGTTTAAAAACAGTGATGGATTACCTTCGAAAAATGCAAGCTGAAAAATGATGGCAATTCCCAACAGCAGGTCTTTTTTTTCAAGTACTGTCTTTTGTTACATTGACCAGCTCTTTTGTCCCATTTCGGACACCCCGGCTCTGCCTATAAACCCATGGTGCTCAAAACGGGGTTCTTTGACAGCAAATGGTTAAAACTTAACCCCATCTGCATCGGGTCCTCTTCAAGCATTCAATTCCATTGTAGTGGAACAGAATCCAATAAAGCTGAATGGAGATAGCCCTGCCATATTCAACAAAAAGCAACATTTACACAGTCATAGAAACCTATTGTGTTATATACGATGTACCATAACAGAGGTTATGTTAATTTTGGATTTGCCCTGCCCGACGTGTATTTAACACTGTATACTCGGTGTGCCCCCGAAAGCTTGTGGGAAAAAAACCACAACCGTACTCGGGTGGGACTCGAACCCACGACCTCCTGCTTACTAGTGCAGACATCTTAACCACTCAACCACCGAGCTTGCGGGCGTTGGCTGGCTGGTTCGAATCAAATGTAGCCAAGTACGCTTGTGGGTTTTTTTCACAAGCTTTCGGGGGCACACTGGTATCTCAGAGGCTGTTTTTGTTATTTGAATTTAGTTACAAAGTACAACGAATGTGCAGAAGGTTTACTGGAGCCTATCCCAGTGATGCAAAACTTGCCCTCTGAGGACATGTTCATGCATTCCTAACCTCTATGCCAGCAGCCCTGGTATGTGTAATTACAGAGGACCCTTTGTGGCTGGTACTTTGCATCCTATTGCCATCTTTTAGAGCAAGAAATCTGTTTGTTGGATATCTGTGTCAAATTTTTCTTTTACAAACCCTTAAATTAGTGTCTGTAGTCAGACCCTTAAATAACAGGTAAATCTGCATCAAGTATTCATAGAATCGCGTCCAAAATGGTCATGCAGAACTCAAGCTTGTGAGACCTGCTTCCTTCAATCAATGTATCCATTTGTCAGACCCTTGTGTTGCAACATGCCTGTCATTTTGCTGATGATATGGTGGTGAGATTTCACGAAGGTGTATCAAATGCGGCCCAGAATGACCCTTTTGGGGGGATTTATTTATACTTGATGTTTCTTATCTATTTCACTTTTGTTGTAGGTGACAAGGTTCCTTCATGAGGAAGTCAACCCTGCAATCAAGCCCTACCAAGACAGCATGGACGTGACATCAAAGCTAAATCTTTGAGATCTGACAGTTTGGACATAGGCGCGTGCCCAGCCACCAAGCTGCAGGGTCTTTTTTGTTGTTGTTCAGCAATGCAGTATTTACTTTGCTCTTCAAAAGAGCACAAATCAGTCTTGAAATAAATTCTGTTAAAAGTGGGCGTGAGAGGATTTTCTTTAATCATGTACTACACAAGATGATTGACACATTAACACTTCGGGGAATTTCGAGACCGTAAACCTGTAACTTGCCATGGGCAAATTGGTCTAGTTTGTATTTTGTAATGCAGGTCAGGTGGAATATTTCTTCATGTAGTTTTGCACAGGTGTGGAGTTCTGTGTACATGCTATTGGCAGTACGATGCCAAACCTATTTCAAGGCATCCAAAGATGCTGACGTGCATTGTGTGGTGTGCATTAGCAAAGATCTCTCCATCGGGTTTGCTGTGGCGTGGCGCTGCTGAATTTGCCTGTGTGAGGTCATACAGCACAGCGCCTACAATGTGAGTTATCTTAACAGATCTAACATCACCTGCCAGTTACACCACCATGTAGTGAGCTTGGGCCACGTTATAGTGTTTGAAGGTACATGTACATGTATGTTATTTTGGCAATCATCGTTCTTTTTACAGCACCCAAGGTTGAAAACCAAAGCACACTGGTGCATAGCATCGATTCTGTCTTGCCCTTATCAATCTTCAGTCCAACTGTTTGCCGAGATGTACAGAAGTGTTTGAAAACATGCATTTCTTGAAATTTAGATAGAACAACTTGAAATGTAGAGAATACTGATCTTAGATCCATCAGCAAGCTAAATGAAAACAGGAGGGTTGCATGTGGTATTGTAACGCCTTCAAGTGGGGATGCACCGCAAAGGGGTGTGACTTGCAGCAGAAGAGATGCATTGGTATGTTCAACACACATGTGATTTTTCTTGATACAGGTTGCTAGTGTCTTTGTGCAACTCAGCGTTGTCAGTTTGGGGGAAAGCAATCAATTATGGCAAAAAAACAGTTGCCTCAAGGAATCAGAAGAAGGTATAAATGGGATAAAAACCGTGTCTGAAAACATCTTTGGGAGTAATTTGCTTATGTATTTTAAAGTACCCGCACAGTAAAAATTTAACATCGAAACTGTTATCAACCTAAGAATTGAGAACAAACTTGATGCTTGTTTTTCTTAAAAATGGACTGAACTGTAGATAATAAAACTGTAAGAGGACAGCCTTGGTGTCTTTAGCCGTCTCTCTTGAGGACGGGCAAATTTGAAATTTGGACAGCCAGTTTTTGTTTGTTCAAAATCGACAAGCCTTTTTTACTTAAATCTTTAACACTGGTGAATAGGTCTTGACATATCCTTCCAAAACTCTGGATGCGTCAGTTTGAAACACATTTCCTGGGCAGTTTGTGACCTTTGCTAGGAAGGGCAAGACAGATACTTTAGTCCTAGATGAAACACTAGGCACCCTTCCTATCTTTTGGTTTGGGGAGGGCTAGGTTAAAACTAACTAACTGAATTGGACCGTTAGCTTGCGAAGGTCTTCCCTCCATTTTCGTTTTTAAATAGTATTTGGAACACTGTGAAAATAGCTTTTTTTTTTACTTGCAGACGCGGGATATTATAAAGGTTCACAAATTCCTGCCGCTGAGCTGTGACTAGCGTGTATAGCAATAAAGTGCTGTTATAGACACTTTTTGCTTGTGTGTATTCCATGTCAGACATAAGAAACAAGCCTGCACATGCAGTGGGTGCCCTTCTTGCTTATCGAGTAGACAGTTACAAGTCCCATCAAATTTACAAGTCCCACACTTGAGTGACAAGGGGATTGTACCCGACGGCTTGATGAACCAGAGAAGCTGCAAAGTGCGCGTCGCTCAAGGATGAAAGGGCTTTCATTCAAAGCCCAGGCCCTATAGCACCTATCCAACTGGACAGAATTCATTTCCGTTCACATCAAACCATATGTCCTGAGTAGGGGCTCTGGTGAAGGGTCGCGACCTCTGAACTGTTGAAAGACATCTCGTGGGTGTGTGCCGCCACCGAGGGCCAAGATGGTGTCTCTGAATCTGCAACGGTGATGACAATTCTAAATCGGTCAAAATACCACTACAAAATTTCTTAAATCAGGTACAATGCCAACTGCACATTGTCTTGTCAACTACAAATCAGACATGCTCGGGTTTTACAAACCAATCTTGACATGAAAAGTTTGGGAGTTGTCTGTATGATCCAATGTTCACTGCAGTGTTTGCCTGTCAATTGGCCTCACACCAACTTGGAACCTATAGAGGTTGTGCATGGCAGCAATGTTTTCCGGTGAGAAATTTTTGTTCCACGTGGATACACCTAGGCAGACCTTTTGTACTATCCCTTTGTAACAATTCACAAGACCAGTTACTGCTACGATGGCTGCCATGCACAACCTCTGTATAAATCAATGTCAATGTCTTGGCAAATTGCCTGAAAAAAGTTTAATTTCGACCAGTTACCTTTTCAGTAACCTGGCTGAAACTGTTCAAGTTCGGTGCTCCTGAGAACTCCGATTGATCAGAATTTTACAACGTGTGCTCATTCCATTATTGAATTACCTCCTGCCAACTTGGGCAACACTCTCCTTGTTATCTAGACCAACCTCTTCAAAGGCACTGAAGGCATCTGCTGCCATAACCTAGAGACACAAAGACAAGAATACATTCAACAATTCAATTTAACCCCTTCACGGCGGGATTATTTTGACTGCAACTGCTGGGCTGTGGTATACCCTGAATGGAGGGCTTTGTCCAGCAGCAGGCCCCATTGAACCAGCAGCTGCATGGTGAATAGACTGTATGTGTGGTATGCACTCATCCTCGCACAATGCTGCCGTAGTAGCAGTCCTCCGTAGCGAAGGGATTAATTGTACAATTTCAGCTTCCCCCCTCTGTCATGATTTCAACTGTTATCCGGTTCGTAAGTGTGACGTCACTTCACTTTAAACGACGCCCACTGCACACGTGCACTGCACATAGAGTTACATGCATTGATTGCCGTCTACATGGAACCATGTAACCGGAAGTTAACGCGCACCATCAGCGATTGTCCAACGAGAGCCTGCAAATCGTGGCGCGTTTGCCTTTGTGACGAGGTCCCTTACGAACCGGATACTTTTTTTTCTCATTTACAAGTGGTAGCGCTCCACTTATGGGCAGCATCTGATGTATTTAGTTACTGGTGGAAATGAACCGCGAGGTTTAGGAACTAAACTTCGCTGGTTCTGGAACGGCTAACCAAGTGAACACTCCCAATCATAATGGCTCTGAGCAGGTGCTTCTGCTTCAGGCGGATGGCATATGCATGTATGGGAAATGCATCTAGCCACTAGGTGGCAGCAAACATAGGTGTATGCTGTTTCCAGTCGTAACCAAGCAATTTGGACATGGATTCATAATCCTTGGTACAGGGGGGATGGTCTGGACAAACAAAATTCCATTTAGGTCTGACGATGCCACGACTGGAGAAAGTATCCGCTCTGTGTAGGAACAAGACGTGGGGCCATTTTTAGAGGAATGACGCCCCCTGTGCATGGAAAGCAGAGGTTCATGCGCTTTGGCACTGAGTGCACTGAGCAGACATAACCAATTTCTCTTGAAATGTACAGTGTTCATGTGCACATCAAGTTGAAATCGTTCCCACCGTTGATCAGAAAAAAAGCTGACACCAGAGACCCCAGTCTGTATGGTCAAAGAGTCGACCCATTTAACTGAGTTGTGCGTCTTACCTCGGCCCATTTGTAGGAGTAGTACCCGGCAGCATAGCCTGAGGCAAAGATGTGCTGGAACGAGCAGGGGAATCTATCCTCCTATAATTAAGAAGAAAGCGAAGGAATTTTGATTAACCACAACTCCGTGATTGTTCCCAAATCCTCCACTGCACAGGCGACCCCCCTTGCACATTCAACCTACTCTTAGAATGTCACAGGGCACAGAGGTCAGGCTCTGTTTTACTTGACGGTGCAAATCCCTCTGAATCATCAGAAGTAGATTCTGAAGGCTTTGGGAAATTTAGGTTAAGAAGTTTGCTCCATGTTCATCTTTTTGGCCCTTTTCTACCAACACAGATATTGACCAACTGTAACCATGTTAAGCGAACAGATTTCTGCCCCTGCCTCTCGTAATGACCGATGGAAGATTTGTTTCCATTGCAAGTATTTCTGACACTTTTAAACAAGACCTTTTCATCCCTCCCACAAAGTACTAGTTGGACAAACATGGTGGAAAATGGTACAGTTGATTGTCCAGTTCCGCAATTTGGCCAAGTTCCACAATTCAGAAAAAAACGGGTCATTTTCAGAAAGACAAAAGTGCTGGGAACTTGATTCATACTCCCCTGAAATAGTTTACTAGACGATCTTGCAGAAAAACAATTTTGCTCACAGAACTGCTGCCATAATCATCGGCAATCATCGTTTTTTGCCAATTGCAGTTCACAACTGCATTCGGCACTCTATTAACCACTTCCTGCCGGGGAGCCCGGTTTCAGGCACCATGTGTTTATATGCGTGGCCGGGGTCTCCGAAATCAAAGGGAACTGGGCCTTGTAACAAAAGACAGTTCTTGGAACAAAAGACCAGACTGCAGGGCATTACCGACATTTGTTCACTCTCAATAGTGGAGAAAATTCAGCCTTGTTTTGAAACATTATACCACGGTTTGGGGGATTTAGTGCGAGCGGATTACCACCGGGGACAAAAGCGCTCCACCACCGCAGCGATGAGTCACACAGCACCGCTGCACGCTAATTTGACTCCTATTGAAAAGAGGTCAGCAGCGCACTGAGCCAGGTTTGTGAACAAAAGAAAGTTACATAACACCGCACAATCTGGGCTCTTTTTAAAAGGCTGCAGGCCTGGCTGAAATACTCTGGCGTCAATAAATTTGTCTGTCGGACTAGAGTGGCCACCAGACAGTAATTCATGTGAGTGTAAACGTCCATTAATTGAAATGATGAATATTTGAAGAATTTTAAAACTTGAAAAAGTTCCGAGTATGTGCGCTGCATTTTTCAAACCACCCGGCAGCAAGTGGTTAAACGATCATCGCGGTGATTTTTTTTCAAACCAAAATCCGTTCTGCTATTGGAAATTATCAGCTATTCCATTGTGAAAATGAGTTCTATACATTTTCAAATGTATATGTTCTGGATACAAAAATGACTGCAAGATTTTTGCCGATGCCGCAAACAAATTTACATAACATAACTCTTTCAGTGTGCATGTGGTGCACGTCCTGTGACAGAATAACAAGACCTACCAATGGCGCGGTTTGTGGAATCGGCAAATGTTTACGGAACTGGGCAAACTGCCAACCACCAAAACAGCTCACTAGCATTCATCTTTCAAATGACTTTACAAAAAGTGTGAAGTATGATACGTAGCTGCTTAATTCCCAGATATTACTGGATGAAAGCCTTTCCATGTAAATAAGTTTTCCAGGCACCTGGGACTGTCTCTGGAACCAGTCAATCAACTCCTTAAAGTGACGCATAGGTCACAAATTTAGCATTAACCCTAACAGTCCCAAATCCTCCAATTTCAATACGAATTTACGTACACCCTAGGAGGTTAGGGTTTACATATCACAAGTAGGAAATAATCGAAGATGATTTGAATTTGTGACTTTCGGACACTGCAAATTATAAAGTCAGACAAGCCATTTTACCTGCAGTGGCTTCGTGACAGTGTATTCATCGGCAGCTCGTCTCATAACGTCCATCCAGTGATCTGTGCTGTAACACCCACAAAAACATGTAACACAATAAGACCACTGGTGACTGCATTCCTAGGCCATATGGAATGGCCAGAGTTGTTAAGTAGGTAACTTCTTGGAGAAATATTGAGTATACAGTGCTTGAGCTCTGTCAAAGTGGCTTGTGGAGAACAGGGCAATCATGTTCCATTTAGACAACCAGTCCAAAAAAATGATTTCCCAGACACTGATGGTGTGGAAAAAAACACACATGGAATTCCTACCACTAATGGAAAGTGCTTTGATCGTAGTTAAAAGCTCCCTGTAAAAACCTCTCAATTTAAAACCCTTTTTATTACTAGTAAACTGATACATGTATGTCACAGCGGCGTCTCACCTTGTGTGCAGTTCAATATCCATGGCTGAGAAGTACAGCTGTCGCAGCATTGCTGACCCTGCCCTATACTTACGAGCTGAAAATCCAGATCAAGAAGAAACTCAGATCCAACCTTTGACTATGGCTGATAGATTGCTGAATGACTACTGAATAAATTATATTGACCAAAAAAACTCGAGAGTCTATAATCACTCCCCGATTCATCCCCTGAGAATCTTCATAATTAACAACCGTGTGGGAAACTAACAGGACCGTCTTTGTGCTTCAGTTCTCAAGTCCCATTCAAGGGGACAGTGGCTGAGCTCTACCAACAAAACCCTCCAAAATCTGATTATTTAAAACGATCTGAGATGGTGAGAACCTCAGGCATTGATCATGTCAGTGTGCTGGCTCATGCATGCATAAAGTGAAGTCTCTGCCACTTTATTTCAACAGAATGGGTACAACAGGATTCAAGTGCACTTCAGGAACAAGGACGTTATGCATTTTGCTTCTGAGGACATGGGTCCTCACATAGGGATTTGACAGTTACCTTTAACCAGCTGGTCAAACAGTGAATCGGGCAGCGGTTCCCCTGTCTGGTAGTGTCGGCTGACTGCCCTCATGGTCCTTGCATCATACATCCAGTTCTCCATGAACTGAGACGGTAATTCCACGGCGTCCCACTCCACGTTGTTGATCCCCGCTGCCCCAGCATAAGGCACCGTTGTCAGCATGTGTTGCAGGCCGTGACCAAACTAACGCCACAAAATGTCAGGGAAAAGAAATGTACCTTATAGAACAAAGCCTTTGTACGAAAAAAATATTAGGAGCGAGACGTCTGTGGCAAAAATGCTGCCTACCAGAATGGCCTGGAGTGTACAAACCTCAAAGGTAAGAGGGCCTGAAATGTAGATCCTTGCAAGGCGATCCTCCTCTGAGAAGATTTATTCAGAAAACAACGGAAGTGCTGGATTTTTTTAAGTTCAAGGTAAACAAGTTGAAATTGACATGTACCTGTGCTGACCACTCAGCATTACAAGAAAGTCATTCAAAGGTTTCAGCTGCTAGCTTATCCTTGCCTTGTCATCTTTAGCCCACCCATCCACCCCCCCTTCTGTCTTACCTCATGGAACAGTGTTTCCACTTCCCGGAATGTCATGAGGGACGGTTTGCCTTTTAGGGGCGGAGTCTGGTTGCATACTAGGTAGGCAACCGGTTTGCGATTCAGAAGTTCACTCTTACCTGCACGAAAGACCCCCCCAAAAAAATTAACAATCATCCGAAAGACAGCAATGGCAGAAGAGACTTGTATTCACTATAACTTACACATTTGAGCTGACGTGGATGTGATATGGCTGAATAGTGATCCCATGAGTAACGAAATTGTAAACCCCATGATGTTTCAGTGACTTCTTTAACCAGGGTTTCCCCTTAGCGGTCGCCCGCTAGCCAAATGCGAGTGAAAACAGTCACGGGCGAGCCAAAACACTTCCCTCAGTCGTCTGGCGGGCAAGTTAAAATATGTACACGTTCCTTGTTTTTCTGATGTGATTAAACAAACTAAAACAAAGTCTTGATTTCAAAGTTTTACCTTTGTCTGTCATGAATGTAACTTTATTTTATTGGAATCAAATAAACCCCATCATCGCTTCCCACTTGCACCTGGAATCCCGTATTGTGTGCTGGGACTACGTGTACATTGTACCTAGTACCGATCATCAACACATCAATGATAGTTTCTCCAGTAGTCAGTGACCTCTATACATGACCGATATAATTAACATACAATTTGAACTGGGAACCAGATACCAAAAACCGATACTGCGTCCAGAGACTGGTGCAATCTGGTTTGTAAGTGGCTTCGTTGTACCACTGATCGCAAGCCCCTCATTGGACAATCATGCTGGGTGAGGGAGTAGGGAATGGGAACCAGTCTACCCACAAACCGCTATCAACCCATGTGATAGCGGTTGATAGAAACGTCTTGGTGGACCAACCGTCTTAAGTCAAAAACCTGCTTTAATTGTTATTCTTTTTAACACATTTCATGGGCTAGTAAAAATCTCTGCGGGCTAGTAAAAATCACAATTTCCAGTGCTGGAGACGTTGGCTTTCTATGCATGGCCAGGGATCCCGAGATCGGACAAAAAAGGCACTGGGCCTTGTAACAAAAGACCGGACTCGGAACGAAAGACAGAGCAGCTGGGAATTGCCAAAAATTTTCAGCACAGGCATGGCATTTTCAAAGGTAATTCATCATTATTTTGGAACAATATACCACTGTTTGCAGCATTCAGCACCCACGGATTATCAGTGGGGACAAACCACTCTAGCACACCAGTGACGAGGGACACAATAACGCTGCACGCTAATCTGGCCAAATTTGTAAAGACACCAATACCATTCAGCAACGCACTGGGCCAATTTCTGGAACAATGGAAATTACGCAACACCGCACAATTCTGGGCTCTCTTTACTGGGCGGCAGGCCTGGCTGCAATACCCCAGTGTCAATGGAGGTTGCCTGTCAGATTAGAGTAGCCACCAGACAGTCAGTTGCGTGGGGGTAAGCATCCAGTAAATGAAGTTATGAATTTTTGGAACAATTTTGAAAAGGAAAATCATGAAAAATTGTCCAGCAACTCATCCTCCACGTGCAAACTCCACCCAGCAGGAAGTGGTTAACATGCGACATCTCAAACTGGTTTTAAATTTGACGCCCAATGCCCACAACTTTCCACAACAGGATTTTAGCCATGCTGCCCATCATTATAGACAGCCCAAGTCCACAAACACTGCTTTCCAAGGTTGGTCTTTGGCAAATTTGGCTCTTTGGGGTTTTTAGCATAGGAGGAATGAATCCGACGCGCACATCACAACCTACCCGAGAAGCACTCACCGAAACAAACATTCATCCAAGCCCCGCCTCTTTTCTCAGCCGGTCTGATGTAGGGGTCCAAAAAGAAAGAAGCTATATGTTCACCTGCAGGGGCAAAATATGAAATAAATACTACTTAAAATCCATACAAATTTCCAGAGAGCAACTTGGGAGAAATGTCTGGACTGACAGTGCTATCATAAAGGACTGTGACCATCAAAGCAACTGGAACCCCTCCTATGCCATCCCCCCTTACATGTTGGGGTAGAATCTTTTCCACGTTCTCCAAACTCCACCGCTGCTTTCATTTTTATGTTGATCCCACAATATTCATCCAACACTCCTATGGAAACTTGATTTAGATTTGGCAGCGTTAAGGTTGGGAGCGTTTTTCTTTGTCCACAGCAAAGTGAATCCCTTCTCAGTGAATCTATGGCTGCGAAGGCAGCACGTGAACAGACTGTCAATTTGCAAGACAAGCCATGAAAAAGGAGAGTTCAACCTTATGTAAAATAGATTCTCTGACAGTGTTAATGCCTCTCACATCGGCACGTACCATGCTTAGCTCACGTATATATGTGTAGGGGCCCACCATACAGTAGATTATGCCCCCCCCTTATTTTTTCTTGAGGAGCAACTGTTTATTGCAGCCCAAGCTCCATGTGACTGTTTCATGTAAACCACATGTGATGACAGGGAACGGTTGAAGGACTTCATGGTGAAATTGATGCATTTTCCTGTGGGCCACTGTAGGGTTGTGTGAGATCCTTTGTTCTGGGGTCATTCTGACTCCATGCTTTGACCAGTGAGCACATGAACATTGACTCCTACACCACTCAAACCAGTCTCCACTTTGCTGTGTCATTTTTACAGAGTTCATCATTTTTAATGGGCATCTCGGAGTAGCAACTCTCTTGCTACCTGGGGTGCAACATATGTATCAAACATATATGAGGATTTTACAAGCCAGTTTTACCTTGTTCGTTGAGTATGTTGAAGAACCTGACATCTTCATGCCACGTCTCTACAGTGCCATCGGCAGGCTGGATGGAAATCATGACAAACAATCAAAGATTTCTCCGTGTCAAGCCGTAATTAAATGAAAGAAAATGTCAAAAAAAGAAATAACCCACAGAGAGATATCGTGGTAAGTAAGTAACATGTGACAAAGTGACAGTATGACAACTTATCTTCCTGTTTTAAGTGAGACTTGCTCTGTGTATTGAAATAACTACTTGGTTGTCAAGAGCCTTTAGTGTGGTACAACCTTGACCAATGAAATCTCTAGAATCAAGTTCCTCAACACAACTGAATCGAATTTCAAGACCAGCAGAGCTGGCAATGATAAGTTCTGTGCATTATCAAAGGAGCATTTTTTTGGGACAGCAGCCTACCACAATTGCTCAGACAAGCCACACAGATGAGAGTTTGCGACATCGTAGTCGGGTCACTCACTAGTCGTTCAAACTCAATCGCAAGACGTCCAAGTCACAAGTCAAGTCACAAGCCAAGTCATATGAATGACTGAGGTAGTGTTTGTCACTGTCCAACCACTGTTTAATACTTCTGACAAGTCGTGTAGCTGAATTGTGACCAAACACGTCACATGACTGTTGATGGACTAGAGGTGAATTCCACTACAAAGAGACTGCCATCTCCGGTCACCAAAACCAATGTTATTGGCAATAAACAACTAGTTCAAAGTCTCATCATGGTATACCTTTAGTGGTTACCTTCAAGTAGACAATGGTTATCTGTCCTCTATCTGTCCAAGCACAACATGGCACGATATGCATGTTTGTTTTACCTTGATTTGCACATTGAAGAGAAATGACGTTAGGTTGAACATTCCCTCCAGGACGTGCGGCAGAGGGAAGTAGGGCCTTAAATCCTCATCATTAAATCTGCATATTTAGAAAAAATGTTATTTGTATTATACAGAATGAAATTGGTTCTGATTACCACTGACCCTAACTATTCTAAATCCTTCATAATCCACTGGAACATTTTGGACATTAGTGGGATAGCACAATGTACGGCCCAGTTGCTAATTAACACAAAAGGCTTGATAAACTCTTTAAATTTGACATACAAAAAAGTGTGCAATTGGGTTCTCATAAAATGATGGACTTCGAAGGATTCAGAAGAATTCTAAAAAAAGCCTGGGTTGAGTTTTGCTGGTGACAAAAAACTTGAGTGGGTTTCGACATCATTCTACAGATGCTTGACTTTTCACCATTTCTGAGCTTGGAAGTCTCTTGTAAGTATCTGCAAGGACCAATTCATAGCTCACATGAATGCAAATACAGAGGAACTTTTGAGCTCCAGGTTCATGGTAGAATGTGCTGATGTTGAGAAGTGTTCAACATTCAGTGCCAATACAAAATGGCATTCACATTGAGTATATTACG